ATTCACTTCATCTGTCTATTTGCCTCTACAGATTCTTTGTGTCATGCTCTTCACTTGCCTATTTTTGTGTCACCTGCAAATTTGGCTATGGTACATCCACTTTTCTCATCCAAGTCATTCTATTCTAAGTCATTCTATTTCTAAACTGTTTCATTCTAAATCCAACATTGAGGAAGCATACAACTGACTTTATCAGGAGGTGGGTAAACAAATTTACATTGTGACCATGGACTAGTGGCACGAGAGTGAGATTGAACACTCTTCCCATCTTGATCGGAACAGCACCATTATAAATATGGCTAGAGAAATTTTTAACATGAAATAATGCAAAAGCATACACGTAGATGCATACTTCTAAAATAAATTAAACATACATAACCATTCTGGTGAATAAATGTACTCCTCAGTGTAATTTACGCCAATGCGGACCTGAAAGTCCCTGGTTCAAATCCTGCACTACTTGCACATGTTGTACTAGAATCAGCCTCTTTGGTGAAGGAATGAGAAAATTGGGAAACAAAAGTTGATGAATGTTCTAATACTTATAAAAGGTCAAGTGTAAAGTAAGTTGAATTTTTGAAAACACAGTTTAAATATTTGCAAAACTAAAAAAAATTAATCAAAGCTGTAGTAATGTTAAAAGTAATATCATGTGTGCATATATTTTTTAAAATTAGCTCATGGGTTACTGGAGTCACTTGCTAGGACAGCATTTATTACCCATTCTCAGTTGTCATGAGAATGTAGTGAACAGCCTGTTTAAACCTGCAGCCATGGGGTTCAGTACACGTCATGCAGTTAGAGAGTTCCAGGATTTCGACAGTGAAGGAACTATGATACAGTTCCAAGACAGGATGGTCAGTGGCTTGGAGGAAAACCTACAGATGGTGGTTTTCCCATGCATCTGCTGCCCTCATCTTTCTAGGTGGTAGAGATCTCATGTTTTGGAACAGTTGTCAAAGCAGCTTTGGTGAGCTGCTTCAGTGCAAATTGGAGATGATACATACAGCTGTCTCTATGTGATAGCAATTGAGACACCTGATGTCTAAAGTGGTTGGTGGGGGTGTCAATCAAGTGGACTGCTTTGTTCTGGATGGACTGGAGATTCTTGAATTTTGTTGGGAGTTGTGCCATGTCTCAGGATAATGTTGATGATGTAGGTGAGAAATAGGAAGGAGGCCAAGGATTGTTCTTTGGGAAATACCCGAAGTAACAGAGTGGGAACAGGAAAATAAGTTGATGCAAATGATTCACTAGCTATGAATAGATAGATAAGAGTGAAATTATATTACAAGTTTCATTTAACTGGGCAACAATGGCAACAGATTGGAGCAGGATGGCACTGTTAGCCATGTCAAAAGCTGCAGGCAGGTTCAGAGAACGAGATGGAAATTTACTTCCATCACAGTCACATAGCATGATATTTGTCACTTAGACAAGGGCCTTTCCTGTAACTTCGTAGATGCAGAAACCTGATTGGATGTATTCAGACAAAGTTTGGAGTAGGGGCAGGTTGACAATAGCAGGTTGGTGATGGAGGAAGATTGGATCACTGAACCCTGAGGTTTGCTCTGTGACCACTGGCTTGGGGCCTTACAGTGTCTTTTAAAATATATTAGAACCAAAATTTTTCTTGTGTGCAAGGTTCATTATGCCAAATTCTTAAGCAAATGATGAACCCTCCCAAATAGAACTGTAAATATGCAGCTCCTATTTGAAAGTGTTCTTAGGTGAAATAAATTAGAAATGAAGCTTTTCGCCTCCAGGCCTTCCTAGATGGCACTAAGGTTCAAATGAAAACAGTCAATAATAAAAACAGAAAAACAAGGAATTCAACAGGTTTGGCAGCATCTGAGGTGACAGCAACAGAATTAATGTTTTGAGTCCAACATGACTCTTCTTCAGAACTGAAGAATCATTTTGAAGTCAAAATATTAGCTTTGTTTTCTTTCCACAGATGCTGACAGGCCAGCCGAGTTTCTCCAACACTTAGTTCTTATTTCAGATCTCTAGCATTTACAGTGTTTCATTTCAATGAAAAGAGGTATCGCACCTTGATTGATATATGAGGGGGGTTTTGGGCAGGGTCATGGCTATCACTATACAGGCTATCATCAGCCCTTCCACTTTTCCAGGGTTCACTGCTCCCTAGTATTCCAGCTGTCCAACCATATTCACAGTTTCATTTAGACACTATGTCCAGCATGAAGGAGCATTTCCAGCATCTTTATACTAGACCTATAACAGCTCCATAGTGTTTGCTAACAAGAATATTATACCATGTTACTCACAATGCATTATTCCTTTGCTAAGATGGATTTGTGTCAGTTGGTGCAGACTATCAAGGTTTCAATGGTCTTATTATTGTAAGTAGTGACTTTCATAAGGCCTTATTATTGTAAATAGTATTACATCAGAAGGATCATCAATCTGAAATATTAACTCCGTTTCTCTTTCTACAAATGCAACCAAACCTGTGCACATTTCCAGCATTTTTTTTGCCTTAATTTCAGTTTTCCAGTATCCACAATACTGGCATATGTAATCAATTTTAATGGTGTTGTTTGATGGATCAGTGTTGGCCAGGACACCTTGAAGAATTCCCTCGATTCTTTTCAAATAGCAACATTGGATCTTTTACTGCTGAAAGAGCAGGTGGCTTATGGTTTAACACAAGTGTTACCACTGGGCTGAGGCACACACCTCTATATTGGTTTAACACACACAAGGAAAAATGTATTGAATACTGCGCTACCATTTTCATAACGCATTTACAAGTTCTCTCTCCGTTATCTCCAAGCTTTTAAAATAATATTTTTATTAAGTGCCCATAATTAAAACACTAAATACTTTGTAAAGAAATTGAAGGGTTCTAGTAAATTTGCATTACAAGAAAAGCAGCAATAAATACTCTCAACAGATAGTTTCATATCTCCTGATCATTTCTTATTAATGCAAACCAATATTAAGTAAAGCACTTTTAACTGCATAGTACCAAAACAAAACGATAAAGAACATCAGTGGGACTTAAAACAACCTCTTCAGTCTGAAGGTAAACAGATATAAATAAATAGTTTTAACTGAAAGAGAGTGTATTACTTTAGTAGTACCAATTTATGGACAGAAACTTCAAATAATGGAATGTTTTCTAGGCATTATGAACACCATTTCCAATCTTTGACCAATAAGAACCGAAGAATGCAAAAGAAGATTTCAGCATAATTTATGCAATTCTATACATTCGTTTGAACTGATTTGTTCACACAATTGTATAATAATAGATCTTGCAGGTTCATACACGGACATCCCAATTTACCAATTATTTAAAAGTATACTCAAACCCAGCAATACTGGTTGCATTTTCCACCACAAATCTATCAATGGCAGAATTTGTACCTACTTGAGTAGATTTAAAAAACAGCACTATTAAGAATATGGAATTAAAGAAATAAAATTCAGAAAGCTATTACAATATCAAACTACTTTTTTCTTCAGAATGTAACTTCAATATTAAATAGAAATAAAGGTTTTATGCACCAAATACTCTTCTCAGATATCTTGAAACTTTACAATAATTACATGGGTTCACATTGCAGATACTAGTTTATCAACCCAACTGGTACATGCCTGTAATAGCAAGTCTCCTCCCACACCTCTTCAACTAGACCCATATCCTTTTATTCCTTTCTCCATCATATGTTTACCCGACTTACTCTTGAATGCATTTAAACATTTTTTCTTGAGTGAACCTAGATATAGTGTGGACAGGATACTAGGCCATGGTTAGCATGAGATGGGAGCCTGGGCATCTTCTCATCCAAATTTTACAGCAGGAAATTTTACAGGGCGGCATGGTGGCTCAGTGGTTAGCATTGCTGCCACACAGCACCAGGGATGCGGGTTCGAATCTACCCTTGGGTGACTGTCTGTGTGGAGTTTGCACATTCTCCCCATGTCTGCGTGGGTTTCCTCCGGGTGTTCTGGTTTCCTCCCACAGTCCAAAGATGTGCAGGATAGGTAGATTGGCCATGCTAAATTGCTCATAGTGTTCAGGGATGTGTAGATTAGGTGGGTTATCGGGGAATGGTTCTGGATGGGATGCTCCGAGGGTCGGCGTGGACTTGTTGGGCCGAAGGGCCTGTTTCCATACTGTAGGGATTCTATGAAAAACTGTCATACACTAACTATAAATCAGTAATACAACAGTAGGTCCACGTTTGATACACTTATCCTTTGGTCTCATCCCTCCATTTCTCTCTAACTCTAACTGCATGCATTCTAACTCAGCATTTTATGGCTCCTACTGAATACATCATCCCCTACCTTCAAGTAGTTGGCAGCTGTCTTCATCTCACACACTGAAATTTACAATCTAAACCATTCTACCCTTACTTCCTGCTGAAGACACTCTTTGAACCACCTCTTTGACCAAGATTCAGATTTGTCATCTTATTCTTTTTCTTCCCTCACATGTAAAAGATGCTTTCTAATTATGCAAGATTTTATTTCATATACAGGTATAGCACAGATATAGGACATGGCATTATTTCTGTTCTCACAAGCTCTCCCAACCCACTACCAGCAAAAACATATTTCTTTTTACTCTATGCACTTATCTAAATATCATCTTAAATGCATCTGTACGACTTGCCTCAACCAACACTTGGTAGCAAGTTCTACATTTTAAACCACTGTCTGGATAGATACCTTTTTCTGAACTCCCTATTTGACTTATTAGCGAATATCTTCTATTAAGTGATCCCCAGTTTTGGACTTCCCACAAGTGGAAACATCGACCTTGTCAAACCCTTTAATAATTTAGACATGGCACCCAGGTCACTTCTCAACTATCTCTTTTCTCAGGGAGAAAGATCCAGCTTGTTCATTTCTTCCTGATGATTATAAATCCTCTTGCTACTGCATCAACAACACTGTAGATTTGACGACATACTAAAATTATGTGATCGTTTTAAGGTACAGTTTCAAAATCTTACATCTACTTACTGCAAAATGCCAGTACTGACAGACTCTAGAAATTCTGTGCAAAGAGCTTCATCCAAATCATCTTCACGACAAGTCAGAAGAGCTTCCACCAATGGTAAAACCTCAATTAAAGTGACAATCGGTGAGCAAAGAACAGAAAAACTCCTCAGTCGGTCTGGTGGTAGTCTATTGAGAAAAAAAAAGCCAAGTTTTAAATTTTTTTTTCTGCTATGATTAACAAATAGAAAATTCTATTAAAGAGGCTAATGTTTTGGGTAGAATGTTAATCAGAATACTGATGTACTTGCTCTATTCTTCTCAGTTGCTGATGGACCTGTGAGCTTGCATCATAATTGTCCTTTTTCAGATTTTCAACATTTTGTCACCATCTAACAAGTACTCATCTGACTTGAACTCTCATTAAATCCTTCTCACAAACACAAATTCTAAGATGCAATCAATGTTAGATAAACATCTTTTTCAGGATGGTGGACTTTGCTCAAATTCTGAAAATGGCACACAATTGCGGAGGTAGCATCAAGAGAATTGGTCGGGAGAGGACTCAGGCCGAGTTGACACCAGGAAAGAACTATACACACCAGGGAGCAGGCGGAGAGCAAAGGTCATGAGCAGACTCAGGCTGCAGTCGACGGCTGAAGAGTAGAGTATTCACCCAGGAGCTCAGCAAAGTCATCATGGAGAATGATCATGAGGGGACTCAGGCTGTGAGTGATGCCAGGGAAGAACAGTACACAAACACAGTCAGTGAGGGAGCAGCAAGCACAGAGAATGTTCATCAGGGAGACACGATTTGCAAACAACTACGAGACTCAAGTAGTAGGGAAATAAAATGGTGGGCATTCTTGGGTCACGTTGAAGAGGAAGTAAAACACTTCATAAATGCAAGCTTCATCTTTGAATTATTGGTATTATCAGTAATTGTTGTACAAAGAACACTGGTTTATTAAAAAGTCAAGAACAAGCCTCTTGATTGATAAACAACTTAAGGACAGAATCATTTTTATGGATTCTTTCTAAACTAATCTTCAGTATTAGCAAGGTACAAATCAGGGATGTGATGAAATACTCTCCACTTGCCTGGATGAGCACAGCTCCAACAATTAGGGCATATTAGTAAATGAATTCTTCCCATTTTTAAGAGAAGGATTTGGCAGAAATTTGGCCTAGATATTAAATGTTCTTTTTAAATAATGTAAAGTGGTCATTGTTTTTTGGGTTATACTTTTAAATATTTTCACATTATATCTCAAACCAAACACCTACCTTATAAACAAGGAAGCTCTGTCACACTGATTGCCTTGAAGTTCCTTAACTAAAGTGGAGACCATCTGAAAGAAAGAAAGAAATAAGTAGTCATAAACAATACAAAAAACAGAGAGGTATCACGTTTCCTTGCACACAGTGGTGGCACGAGTATTGCAATCAGACTTCCAGTCTTCAAATTCTGTTTTTATTATGGACACAACAGTTGCTGCAAGTTATATGTGAACAAGAAAGGTCAAAAACAGTAGCCACTTAATAATAGAGCAGAGGTTGAGGCAAACACTTCATAATTTAACAGTAACTAGTGGATTAATATTAGAATTATTCTAATTTCTATCCCAAAACAAAGTGATTCTACATATGATATTAACCACAGCATCATAAAATAGCTATAGCACAAAAGGGGGCTATTCGGCAATTATGTCCATGTCAGGGTTCCCACTCCCCTGCCTTTTCTCCATACCTTGCAAATCCCACTTGAAAGTCATGACTGAACCTGTCGGCACCATACCTTCAGATTGTATGTTTTAGATACTGCTTTGTGAAAAAGTGATTCCTGCTGTTGCCTTTAGTTCATTTATCAATCGTTTCACCTCTGTCCACTCAAGTTCTCGATACTCCTGCTAATTCGAACAATTTCCCTTGATCTTCTATATCTATGCTATTTTGAGCATTTGCATCAAACCTCTTCTCAAACACCTCCTAGCAAAAGAGAAAGCTCCAGCTTCTCCAATCAATCCACACAATCATCTTTGCATCCTGTCTATTACCTTCATATCCTTCCTAAATAATTGGACCCAGATTAGGAGAGAATACTCCAGTGGAGACCAATCCAGTATTTTCATAAAGATGCATCATGATTTTCTTGCTTTTGTGCTCTCTCTCCAGGATCCCACTGCCTTTCTCATTCTCAAAATGCACTGCCACCTATACTTATTAGTGGACATATAATGCCAGGTACCTCTGTTCCTGCACCCCTTTAAATGGTAGTTTAGCTTATATTACTTTTTTGTTCTTCCAATGTATCAATTCATGCTTTGCCACATTAAATTCATCTGCTACTCATCTGCCATCCTACCAGTCTATGACTATCCATTTCACATTTCACAATACTACCAAGTTTGATAATCATCTGCAAATTTTGCAATTGTATGCTAAGTCATTAATATATAATTCAAGAAAAGCAGTGCTCCCATAATGGAACCCTGGGAAACACGATGATATATTGTCTCCTGTTGAAAATAAACATATTAATTTTTCCATTGTCTGATTTCTACATCATCAGAAGCACAGGGTCACTTCACATTTATAGTAACATAGCAACAAATGAATTTCACAATAAGTGGGTCCTTTAATGTGTAAGGGAAGTTTTCTGCTGATATATGATCTTGGGGGAAACGGTTACACAGACTGGGGGTGGGGGCCTGCAGTTTGGAGTGTTGGAGCAGAAAGCATGTTGATACTTCAGATTAAATGATCGGAACGTGAGAATAGTGGATCAATGATGTGTCCAACTACCAGAGTGGAAAAAACAGACAGTCCCACTGAAGTTGGGGGAGGGGAGAGAGGACATGGTGAAAGAGAATGTAACAAGCAAAGCTAAAAGAAAGGGAAGGAATGGGTTCACAATCTGAAGATATTGAACTCAATATTGAGCCCAGAAGGTTGTAAAGTGTCTAGTCTGAAGAGGAGATGTTGCTCCTCCAGTTTCCAATGTGATTCGCTTGAGAATTGCAGCATGTCAAGGACAGACACGTGGGCATGCAAGCAGGACGCAGTGTTAAAACGACCAGCTACAGAAAGATTGGGGTCATGCTTGCACACAGACTGGAGGTGTTCTGCAAAGTGGTCACCGGTCAGCATTTGGTTTCTCGAACAACGAGTGGCCATATTGGGTGCAGCGAGTACAATACACAAGATTGGAGGAGGTACAGGTGAAATGCTGTTTCACCTGGAAAGACTGTTTAGGCCCTTGGATGGTGAGCAGGTGAAGGGGCAGGTGTTGCACCTTCTGCAGTTACATAGGAAGGTGCCGTGGGAAGGCAGGGTGGTGCTGGTGGTTGAGGAATGGACGAAGGTGTCCCAGAAGGAACAATCTCTGCGAAATGCAGACAGAGGGAGTGAGGGGAAGATGTGTTTGGTGGTGGACTTCTGCTGGAGTTGTCTGAAATTGCAGAGAATGATCCTTTGAATGCGGAGACTGGTAGAATGAAAAGTGGGGACAAGGGAGACCTGATCACGCTATTGAGAGCAATGGGAAGGGGCAAGGGTGGAAGCACGGAGGATAGGTTGAATGTTGCTGGGGATCCTGTCAACCACAGTGGGCAGAAACCACAGTTATGGAAGAAGGAAATTACGTCAAAAGTGCTGTTTTGGAAGGTGGCATCATCCAAATAGATATGACATAGGCGAAGGAACTGGGAGAATGGGATGGAATCCTTGCAGGATGTAGGGTAGGAAGATCTGTGCCTAAGGTAGCTGTTGGAGTCAGTAGCTTTGTATTGGATGGCAGTTGACAGTTTATTCCCTGAAATGGAGACAGAGAGGTCAAGGACAGGAAGGGAAGTGTCAGAAGTGAACAATGTGAAAGTTACAGAGCAGTCAAAATTGGAGGCAAAATGAACAAATTTTTCAAGGTCCAGGAGGGAGCATGAAGCAGCACTGAAACAGTTGTCAGCGTACTGAAAGAAAGAGTTGTGGGAGGCAGCCAGTGTAGGACTGAAACAAGGATTGTTCCACATACCCCATAAAGAGGCAGGTTGCTGCCTAACTTTTCTAGGAAGCCATGTGGAAAATCTGGGTTAACACTCTGCTCCTTCTGCATATACAATGTCCAGAGAGAAAACAGGCCTGTACCAATGTCAAGGGTATTTTTTACAACCAGGATTTTCCTTTTTCCCCATAATTGTGCGGCTAGGCATCTTTAAGATTGAGAGACTTCTGTCATCACCAGCATCAAAGCCCACTAGATCAAATATCAATCAAGCACTCTCGGTGCAGCCCGGTAGGCTTCCTGAGCTAAAAGGTGCTAAAGTTGAGATGGTCTATCCTGCCTAAAGCTGATAAGCATAGGCTGGAAGCTACCAGAAGCTATTCAGAGTTATCAGAGGCCTAGGCTGCTCAGTCATGAAGACTGGGACTGGCAAGATGATAATTTTCTACGGAGGTGGTAATCATGGTTTGAGGGTAACGGGAGTGGGGGGGTGGTGAGAGGGGCAGTACAGAGGCAAAGGTAGGGAGATGGCTTTCCAACTACCCAACTAGCTTCGTATGTCCTCAAATGCCCCAAGACTGGGGCAAACAGAAGCACCATCCCTCAAAATCTCACAGGCGGACCACCCTGCTTCCCCTGTCCAAATGGCAGCCAGATTTTGCACCTGCTGGGAAGGTAAGTAATTAGGCCAATGATAGGCTGAGGCCCTTGATTGGTTGTTAATTGGCCCCTTAAGGGCCTTAATTGGTGGTGAGTTGGGAAGCTCGATCACGGTCCTCCTCACCGAGAAATGAACTTCTAAGGTAACGGGGAGATGGTGGGAGATGGTGGAAAGTGGCAGATATCTCTCCAATTTCAACCTGATTATATGCCATTCTCACCAGCTGCCGTGCTCCTTCTACAACAAGCAAGACATCGATCTGTGTTTTGTTTTAAACTGGCCATGACCACTGCATTTGGATTCACATTATGTTCATTTTCTCACCCTTGAGGTGACTGGCTCGATTAAATAATTTCCAGGGGTAAGATTTCTGAGTTTTAAAATAATGTTCTTTTCATTACCACAGACTCACCCAAGATGCTTAAAATGTGACATCTCACAAATTTTATCACATATACAAAGATTAGATACAGACAAAGATAAAACAATATGAATATAACATATGATTGCTTCAGTCTCTCTTTTGCATTTGGCCTGTAGAACATAGAACATAGAACATTACAGCGCAGTACAGGCCCTTCGGCCCTCCATGTTGCACCGACCTGTGAAACCAATCTGAAGCCCATCTAACCTAAACTATTCCATTATCATCCATATGTTTATCCAATGACCATTTAAATGCCCTTAAAGTTGGCGAGTCTACTACTGTTGCAGGCAGGGCATTCCATGCCCTTACTACTCTCTGAGTAAAGAACCTACCTCTGACATCTGTCCTATATCTATCACCCCTCAATTTAAAGCTATGTCCCCTCGTGCTAGCCATCACCATCCGAGGAAAAAGGCTCCCACTGTCCACCCTATCTAATCCTCTGATCATCTTGTATGTCTCTATCAAGTCACCTCTTAACCTTCTTCTCTCTAACGAAAACAGCCTCAAGACCCTCAGCCTTTCCTCATAAGACCTTCCCTCCATACCAGGCAACATCCTGGTAAATCTCCTCTGCACCCTTTCCCATGCTTCCACATCCTTCCTATAATGCGGTGACCAGAACTGTACGCAATACTCCAAGTGCGGCCGCACCAGAGTTTTGTACAGCTGCAACATGACCTCATGGCTCCGAAACTCAATCCCTCTACCAATAAAACCTAACATACCGTACGCCTTCTTAACAACGCTATCAATCTGGGTGGCAACTTTCAGTGATCTATGCACATGGACACCGAGATCTCTCTGCTCATCCACACTACCAAGAATCTTACCATTAGCCCAGTACTCTGTATTCCTGTTACTCCTTCCAAAGTGAATCACCTCACACTTTTCCGCATTAAACTCCATTTGCCACCTCTCAGCCCAGCTCTGCAGCTTATCTATGTCCCTCTGTAACCTGCAACATCCTTCCGCACTATCCACAACTCCACCGACTTTGGTGTCATCCGCAAATTTACTAACCCATCCTTCTACGCCCTCATCCAGGTCATTTATAAAAATGACAAACAGCAGTGGCCCCAAAACAGATCCTTGAGGTACACCACTAGTAACTGAACTCCAGGATGAACATTTCCCATCAACAACCACCCTCTGTCTTCTTACAGCTAGCCAATTTCTGATCCAAACCGCTAAATCACCCTCAATCCCATGCCTCCGTATTTTCTGCAATAGCCTACCATGGGGAATCTTATCAAACGCTTTA